AGCTTGTTTGGAAAGCAATTTGACATTCGTGACGTCAGCACTCCGGCAGTCTAACGTATCGCTAATTATTGCCATTCGCAAATATATTCCAGATACGTATAGTGAACAAGTGAACCGTTCGCAGTGCCCGGAAATAATTTTGATATTTGATTTTTATCGTGATGGCTTTTTATAAAAGTGAAGAATTTAGTAAGAAAAATATTAATGATGAAGATGAACGTGTACGGATTCATGAATGGTCACGATCACGGTCACGACACTATAGAAATGTGAGGTATGTATGTATATATACTCGTATATATAGAATTAATGGCATTAATTTGCAATAGCACCTCGAACCCACAGTTTCATTATGGAGCCAGATTAAACAAATCAGAATGAGTATTATGTTACCGTAAAAGCCCGAATATTGGTTAAACGTAGGGTTACCCACGTAGGAGCCCGAAATATGCAAAAAAGGTCACTTTAGGTTAAGTTTAGATTAGGCCTATATTTTTATTAATGCAAAACCAACTAAAACCTAATTCTAATATAACCTAAACTCACTCCCTCTTTTGCATATTTCGGGCTATTACCTGGGTATTTCTAGGTTTAACCAATATTCGAACTTACGGTGTAAATTTATGGACGGTCCATAAATTTAAATTCGCCGTACAAAAAATAAGTAATAGTTACTGTAGATAAAAATAAATTAAAATATAGTTCCACGATAATTCAGTTTGCAGCTTCTTTTCATCATACCTAGTAAAAACCCGTCACAACCACTACTCATAGTATGTATGCCTATGTATTTTTAAACATCATTATGAGATTTAAGTCATAGGTGCCCATAATATGAGTAGCGGTATTGACGGTTTTTTGTTATGATGAAAATGTTGTGTGATATGAAAAAGCAACAAAATATATTATCGATTGCAGCAACTATACCTAGTTTTACATTCAGTATGTCCAATTAATATAGAAAATTATTTGTTAGCTTCTTAAACAAAACAGACCCATAATAATTCAAATCTTTATCATCCAAGACTTCCAAGAATTATAGAGTAATCTCACGTCAAAACTTTTTAAAATTATTGCATGCCTTAAATGTTTGCAAAATTAACAAAAATATGTCTTTGATTACCTGCAATTAATATATTTGGTCCAATTTATCAGTTCTGCATCATATCCGAAATTCAGATTGTGTGTGACACAACGAAGAGTCAACGTACAACGTGAACGATAAGAAAATGGCAAGTAAAAAAAATTGTAAAGTCTTAATTACTAATTACACAGTCTTGAGTTCTCCTGCCTAAAATCTATATTGCCTTCCCTAAGATTTTAAATATAAATGATTGAAATTCATACAAGTTTACCACAATTTAAACTTAAGATAATTATTTAATTATTATAAATCCATAGTTATATTAAAATATAACACTTACGAAGTTACTAAATATTAACTATTTCTACTTAATCATTTAATAATTCTGATAAAAACACGCTTGATTATTTATTTTAGAAATCATACGGGCTATAATCATTAATATGACTATATTAACAATACTTAAATCAAAATTTATTTGAAGGAATGCTACTGTATTACAATAATTGTAAAACAAGTATATAATAATAACTCGGAATAATTATTAAAAACTGCTCATCTTGTTATAGATGTCGGCGTCTTGTCTCTATTATGTGTGTGCCATTTGTGTTTTTTTTTTATTAGAATTATTATTTTTAGCATATTTGGTATACTCTATGAAGTTATTTTTAAGTGCTCCTGTCCAATTTCAATTATTAAAGTGCCTTTAGATACAACACTAAAATTGATTAATTGGTGTATAGTAATTTGTATTATGGGTTTGTTTATTTTTTATGAAATTATTTTTTCCTATTAAAATAAACATAGCTTACTAAATCACTAGCTAGCCATTTTTAAATACAGGTTGTTAATTAAGCATCTGGGCCAAACTTCAGGAGGTGATTCTTTGAGTGTTTTTAAGGTAAAAAGTTCATATAAACATGTGTCCGGAAATGTATAATTTAAAGATACAGGGATGTCAAGGTGTTTTCTAATAGACTTTTTTATTAATGTCTCAAAGATCCGTTAGCCGATTTTGTTGAAATTTCGCCAAGTGTTGTGAAATTTAATAAGTTAGCACTAATTAAATGATAATTATTATTTACAAACAATATTTAAAACGATAAAAACTCATCCCAATAATAAATATTTGGCACCGCCTTAAATTCATTTGTTTTACGTTGGCGGGTGGAAACCATGTAAGCTTTTTCTTTGTCCTAAGTTGTTAATTAAAAAAATAATTATCATATAAAAATATATAGGTCATAGCCTAAATTTTTATCACCAAAATATATCCAGCAGATCCGATGAGAACCGAATTATTATATGTTTTGGAACTTAATGATGTAATTAATTATTCCCTTTAATGCATCGATTGTGCGCATTATCCTACGCGCCAAGAAAAAATATTGCATTAGTCTAAATTTATTATTTATTTTATTCCGCTCTCCGATTCTATAATTTGCCCCCTGCTTCTCATACGGAAAGACTTAGATTAAAATAGCCCAACTGTACTTAACAACCCATGTCTTGACGCATATTCTTTTTTATAATAATATCGGCTTTCCCAGACTAAACATCCATATCCATAAAATAGTTGGCCCACTAATAAGACCTCATTTCGGCCTTCGGACGGCCTTGCTCTATTCAGCTGTCGAGTTACGTGTTGACAAGTTGATTAGGCAGGTTATTGAACTCCATGTCGCCTCTAGCATGTCGTTTTTTCAAAGATGGGTCCCATATAAACGCGGCCAGAAGTATTTTCAATACTAAAATATCCTAATACATTGCATTGCTTCCCTTGGCTGCTATAACTGCCTGTATACGTCCGTTCATACTGTCATTGAGGCTACATATATTATATTGCGTTATGCTTTCCCATTCTTCTTTAAGAACTAAGCGAAGTTCAGTTAACGAACCTGGGATCGCTTCGCGACCTCTAACCCTCCTGCCAAGCATGTCCCAAACGTCGAACATGATGGGCAGTATATCGTTCACAATAATCACCAAAGTCGGCTTCTCATATTGAAAAATAACTTAAAAAAAAATGATAATTGAAAAAATTGCAAATTGGTGGTGTCAAGTTCATTTCGCTCTTAAAAATTAACCAAGGCATATATTGACATGATCCAAAAAATAAAATGCTCAGGAGACACGGTTCTGACCGTAAAATTATATTTTAAGAAAATTAACACACGAAATTATTGCACAGGGTGTTTTAGAGTTAAGGTAAAAAAAACAACCCCTCGATTAACACTGTATAATATGCCACATATTAAAGTTTATAAAAAACTGACTTTAAAAATTAGAGTTAATATAATTATGTACAGGTTGATAAAAAATTCATAAAAATAGGGCTAAAAATAACCACAATATAAACTTTAAATTTGACCAAAAATTTCTCCGTTACGTTTTTTTTGCATCTGAGTGTATAAAAACTAACAAAATTTATACATTCAGTTTTTAATAATTATAAAACACCAAAAATATACTACATTTACAAATAAATAAATATTCAAAAAATGTGTCTCACTTTGTATTATTTCTCAACTTTAATGACTTATTCAATTAGAAAAACCTCACCAATAGCATTATATAATTCACATAAAGTATATTGTTCCAGGTATTGTGCAAATGCAATTTAAATTGTAAAGCAATATCGCATGCACAAAAATTAAATCTCTTCCACGAATTTTACGGTTTGAATGACCATGTAAAGCAAAATACGTATGCAATGGGTCTCATACACGTATGTGCTATCAAGAGGAGAAGGCATGGAACCTACGAGAGGCTAGAAGAGATCAAGAGACAGGTTACGCTATCCTTCACCTTGCCTAATGGAGAAGGCAACATCTTACAAGTGTGTAGAAACACTTTTTGCGCGGTGTTTGGAATAACTCCGAGACAAATTCAAACTTTAAGTTGAAAAAACAAGGAGACACAGTATACAAAGAAAGGAGAGGTAAGCTGTACAGGAAGTTCACACCAGAAGATAAAGAATTTATTAGTCACATTAATGAATTTCCCGGAGACGTGGGACATTACAACCGCTCGAAAAGCGACAAGCAATATCTGAGCTTCGATCTTAATATAAATAGACTTTACTCGGCGTTTAAGGAAGCTCATCCTGATTCTATAGTAACCTATCGTTTTTACTTTGAAATGTTTAAAAAGAAATTTCCCAATTTAAGTTTCCGTAAGCCGAGAACAGATATCTGCGCTACCTGCGATTTACTACACATGTAAACCAGAGATCTCCACCGTGGAGCTGTGAGACCTTGTCGTGGTGGTGGGCCATAGTAACTGCAATGATTTGATGAGCGATGCCGGCGGAAGCGTTAATGCTTCTTGGTCCAACCTTGCCGGTAAGGTCTGAGATGAGCAGCGAAACTAAGAACAGCTCAAAAACCTGGCAGTAGGTTAAAAATTCAAAAATCGAAGATGGAAGATAAAACAAAAAATAAAATACCCCAGGGCCCTTATTCTTGAATGTCCGGGAAGGGATGATTCCCGGGAACCTACCCAGGTAGGCTAGCCCACTTTTACTCCCGGGAACAGAAAAATCGTATTCTTGAACGCCTAGGAATGTGCACAGTGTTGCCACTTATGCAAGTGTCAATCAGAATGTAAAAAATGCGTTTTTAAGACCCATCCTTGGCCCAACCTCCAATAAAAGACGAAGAACTGGAGGAAGGACATGACAATGTAACCTTACATTTTGGTTTCGTGTCATTTTTTATTTTTTATTAGTTTTAACTCTACTCTTTATAATTGCACGCTTTGAACGTCATAGTGTCATTCATCATTAATTAGTTTTAACATCTATAGTTCAGTCACATACATATTAATACAAGTGGCAGAACATGAGCTAAAAAATAGGCAGCTTTCTGCCACACAAAAACGAATATTGGTTGACTTTGTATACGCAAGACCCGAAATGCAAAAGGGCAAACTTACCCCAGCGTATACAAAAAAGGTAGCAACAGCACTGTGGGAGCAGATAACTGCAACATTAAATGCTACACCCGGAGGAGCTATAAAAACACCAACTCAGTGGAACAAGGTAAAATTTATATTATACAGTCATTTTTAACAATATTTCTTTTTTTAACGATTATCAAATATTAGTATATACATTTCCATAAAAAAATATTGTTCTTTGTTTCCCCATAGACCTGGAGAGACCTTCGAAAGAATGTCAAAAATAAAGCTTCGAAAGAAAAGCAGTACAGGAATGGTACAGGAGGTGGTCCACCAATGCCTCCACCACCACCAGAGTTGGACAAAACTACTGATGAAAAATTTTTAGAAATTCTAACACCTATAGCAGTGGAGGGGAATGAAGTTCCTGATTCATTTTTCTTAAACGTTGATGTAATTTTACATATTATCGAGGAAGTAAGTCAATCACTAGTTATACTTTTCATTAAATATAGTGTCAAATCAAAAGCGACCACCACACTGTTTTAACAAACCCATCTACAAGTAGCTAATTTCACCTCTATTTTAGTATTGAAAATACTTCTGGCCGCGTTTATATGGGACCCATCTTTGAAAAAACGACATGCTAGAGCCGCATGGGTTCGATAACCTGCCTGTCAACACGTCGATAGTTTAGCCGGCGTTATAGGAATATGGAATAGGGCAAGGTCGTTCGAAGGCCGAAATGAGGTAGAGGTCGTAAATAAAATGATCCATAATGGTAAAATATGCTTCGAAGTGTTAAAAGTGTTGAAAATTGATTAAAATCTGTTAGGTTTAAGATATTGGTGAGTACTTTTTGAGCTTTAAGTCAAGTATGTAGGTGTGAGAAATATTATGTGATTTATTCGATTGTATAAGCCGTGAAGCTAATAGGGTGTGTGTTATATTTCATGAATATTTCATTTTATTTTGTTCGTAACTGTGAATCTTGTAAGTTCACACTGTATTCGTAAACAATAAGGTATTATCCTTGTTATGGTACTTACGCTTAATTTTATATGTATGTATATAATTTTGTATTCTCTGTTTAATGTATTTGTACACAATTTTTTTATATATTTTTTAATTATCATATTATTTAACAGTATCAAAAGTAATGTTGCCTCCCATTTTTATACAGGGCGGTAAAGTTTTCAGGAAAATCAGTTTTTTTTATAATAACACTGATACTATTTTAAATATCTTTATAAAATTGAGTACACGTCTTCCATGTATCAAGATGTATTTTTTCATATAAAAACAGTTCTGTAATTTTTATTTCAGTTGCGTCCTTACGGGATTGGATTAGTTAATTAAATTTAATTTCTTGAGTTTCTTAAGAGTTTAATAGCGAAGTGCTTTAGACTTTAAATCGATACATATGATAATATTCTTTTTTCTCCGAAATTATGGAATTGTCTAGTTGTAAAATTTATTGATTTTAGTATACTTTAGTTGTTATCAATATAAGTTAAAAAGACGCTAACTTCCTTATTGCATTTTTTAATTGATTAGCAATTTTTTTGATTTTATCCAGTGTGTAAGCCACCAATGCACATGTCATATTTTGCACCCATACCTCATATTTGTATTTTACCACATTTTAAATTTATATGTATGCATGTATGTTATTTTTGATTGTAATATAATATTTGCTAAACTTTCTATCATGTTTTATGTATTTGTATATCATTTTTTATAACTCCCGTAATTTTCACATTATTTTACAGTCGACATCAAAAATAATGTTGTCTCTGCACTTTGACGTAATATACGTATAAGTATTTGTTTACTCGCCTATTTTATAAACATCATTACTTGAAAAAAAATACCTATTTGGCTTATTTAGGTATATCCACTAATTTACTTGCACTTTTCGAAGTAAAATTCATTTTCGAAATACAAGACGTTTTTGAAAATGAAAATGTCTAAGCACCTCTCGTATCCCAACGATCTCATAACTTATCGAAAAGGTAAAAACTAATGGTCGTGTAAATTTTGAACCTATTGAATTATGCTAGAACTGCTTTTTCCTTGTAAATTATGACAGTTAAAACTTAATTATTTTTTTTTAATTTCATTATCTCTTGGATGGTCTATTTAATCATTATCAATTTGTTGTTCTCCTTTGTGGCTTTATAAAATAATATTTTTACGTATTTTTACTTTTAAATTATAATTGACAACGACAAATCATAGGCTAGTCTTTGCAGTATAACTTAATTCAAAATTGGTAGCAAATTTCCTTAATTAACCTAGCATAAGTCGTAATACAGATTATATCAGTGTAGGAGTAATTAGATCGGAAGTCATAAGTTGAATCGGATATAAAATGCAAATATAATGTATAAATATAAAATCCAATAGTTCACGTGATGACTCGTATCAAGTGGTCTGTGGTACCTTTTAAAAAATGGCGGATAAGCGAAACGGTTCATCGTTCACTAACTGAATCTTCGTTAAAAAAAATCTTAAATACTAGAGAAGATGAAAAAAAAGCTAGAAAACTTAAATTAAACGTCAAACGTTGTCGAGCCTATAGAAATCGCAAGAAAATTGTTAAAGTTTTATCAGTAACTACAATCGGTACTTCTTCTTCGACCTTGGAAGATTTTGAAGGACCATCAGAGACAAAAGGAAATATAAATCAGGAAGGTAAGTAATAATACCTAATATGAATATGGTTAATAAATATTACCGTGACTTACCACTGGTGTATATACGGATATGGAAAACGTCTCGGAGAGTCAAGATAATAAAAAATGATTTTCATAAGAAATAAGAAGTTTCTTATTCGCAGCATTTCAAAAATATTTTATGACAGGCGTCTGGACAAGCACACATGTCAAAGATATTAAAATTGAGGGGCTTAGAATCCTAATCCGGCGTCCGTTTGTCGTTCATCGTTCCGTTCCAACCAAACCAAACCAAACCAGTAAAATTGAAATATTATCTGTCATTTTTGAAATAAACCAATAAAACTGGTTAAAAACAACAAGAGACGACGCATGACGGATTTATATTTAAACCCATCCATAGCTAACTTAAAAAATATTGCAAACTTTTTTTAGTAAAATAAATAGATTGGTATGAGATGTCATCTGCTTTTATTGTCATCGTCTGTCTTACCCGAGAAAAAAAAACAGAGTATACATCGATAATCTAATCAAACTGGTAGTTTCGACCTTTAAACCGATATTAATTATTATTACGTTTACTTTCTTATTTTTCCGAATTAATATTAAAAATTATAGGTACTCTACCGTTAAAATCTGAAATTTTGTTTCAGATTTCAGATTTATATTTAATTAATAAAGTACAATGCAAGAAACAACATAATGAAACCACCATCACTAAGTGTCAAGATTTTATATTTATGGTTATTACTTTAGAAAAATAATAAAAACTTTTTGTGACCAAATTTTATTTTTACATTAATTTTTATTAATGTAATTTATTTTTGCTGCTTACCGCCACGACCTTACATTGCATGGTTTCTGTAACCAAGAAATAAATATCACAGTTCAGTATTAAACATTATAAGGGTGACCGTAAAGTATTGAATAAGTTCATTTAAAATTAAGGGGTGTGTAAAAAAAAGTTTTTTTCTTCGACAACCGCCGACTTGTGTCTGGTATTTTCAATACGCCTATGATGGTTGCGCATGTTGCAGAATCTGTGAATTTTTTGTCTATTTTAGAAAGAAAATGAATCTAATATTGAGATTATAGATGAAAATAGCATGGAGCCTGTTGCTGCAACTTTGACACCAAAAAAAAAAGAGAAAAATTACCCTGCACACTGTAGAAAACACTGTATCAAAAAATTCAAGAAAAAAAGTGTGAACTCTTCCAGATTAAGCCATAGCTTAAGAAATAATGAAAAGTTCCTAATGATAAGCCAACAAGGAATGTCAGCAACAGAAAAATATCAAAAGAAAAAGTTACAGTTGTTAGAAGAGCGTTTTAAAATAAAGCAGGAGTATTATGAAAAAAAAATTAAAGTTATTGAAAATATTTCGGAAAATGTTGAAATGATAGCAAACAAAATTGTTCATATTTTTTAATTTTAGTCAATTTGTTATGGCAGAAACTTTTTTGGTTTGTTGTATGTTTTATTTGGGGTTTGGTTAGTGATGTTCTATGTATAACAAAATATATTAGTTCAAATAAATAATTTTGAAGTTTTTATTATATATGATATATCAAAAAAAGTTATTAATTATAATGTTTCGCTGAATTTCTCTTGCAGCAACCAGATCTGGATTAACTGCTCTAATATTATCTACATAATTATGGGCAGCATAAATTCCATAATCTGGTTCTTGAACTTCATGTGGCTCATCAGCTTCAGTGATATTGTTGTCAATACACAAGTTGTGTAAAACACAACACGCATTTATAATTTTCCCTGCCATCACTGGATCATAATGCAGTGTACGATGTCTTAAAAGACATCGATATCTATTTTTTAGAACCCCATTACATCTTTCAATTGTGGAACGTAAGGGTTTCCCAATGGAGTTAACAACCAAGGACGGGTAGGATAGCCTGAAAATAAAATAATTATCAGGCTGTCAAAGTATTTCCTGTATCTACCTGAGTCGCCTAAAAGAAAAAATAAATTGTCAGGATTTTCTCTGTACATATTCTCCATGAGGGTGGAAATAGGTGACTGTCTCCAAATATGTGCATCATGGGTTGATCCTGGAAATCTAGCATTGCAGTTCAGAATTTTAAGATGGTATCACAAATCTGAAAAATAAATTCAAAATATTAATAAACTAAATATCAAATACAATTGATGTTGGAACCATTGGTGATAATAACAGCTAAATACCACTAATTTTCCACAAAACATCAAAACAGTTTATTTTAAACTATGGATGTCAGCATCATCACTAGATGATTAAAATACTAAGTTTTAATAATCTGCTAATAACTCTAACATGGTTAGCAAAACGTACATACAGAGTTTAAGATAAAGTGTTTTGGTGTGTTGTGGAAAATTAGTGTTATTTTGTTGTAAATAAAAACTATCAAGGTATGTTTCTTTTTTAAAGAACACATAGGATGTCTTGCCATATGAATCATTTTTTATAGCAGTACCAAAGAAGATAATTGTTCAAACAAAAGCAACTAACCAATTGAACATTGAGTGAATGGCATCCTTTTCTATTAACATATAGATGTTCGTTTTGCTGTGGGGCCACAATACTAATATGTGTACAATAAATACATCCGATAGGCCCTGGAAATCTGTATTTCACATAAAATCTAAAATAAAAATTATATATAGTTATAAATCAGACACTAAGATTGCTAACATTTTTTTTTATTTAAGAATAAATTATATTCTGTTACTCTTGTCATAACTTGCCTAGTACGTAGTGCCTCAAAATCTTCAGTAGTTGAAGGATATCGAATCGTTCTAAGAATGTCCGGTCTGTTCAGAGCATTTGTTATTTCTTTTATAGAACGGCTTGTTGAAGCCTGGCTTATAGCAACAAAGCTATTACTACCAGTAATTTCTGGGTAGCTTCCTGATGGCATAAAACCTTAATGTTGCTAGTACCTTTAAAACATGTAATCACCTTTAAAACATGTAATCATATCATATCAGTACTAACATTTAAATGATATTCTACGGTTTGTATGAATATATTATTTAGCTGCAAAACCATGCCTTGTTAGTTTAGAAAACAAACCTTTGTTCTTACTGTTAAGGACGACAATCGTGTTGGAATAGTAACATATGGAGTGACCATTTCCACTATTTCCCGGCACAGATTTTTTGAGACGCGAAACAGTTTCACAAATTTATGGTCCGAAAGAGCAAATGGATCTTGTTGTGGCAGAACATTTCTAATTGCTTCTACTGCTTCTGCAGCATCTTCCATATCTTCTTGAATTATATCATTTAGGATTATATTATTAAAATATTCAACATCCATATTTTCATTTAATTAAACAATAAAAAGCAACATAAAAAATACATCTACTGTCAATTTTTGAGGTTAGAACCTTAGCGGGAGCTCGTTTTCTCTTGGCCGAGAAGTGGAGAAAAGAGAAAATTCCCGGGAACGTTTACTTCACGGTCACATATTCAAGAATACTATTTTATTGTTTTAAAGTGATCCACGCCCATTTCCCGGACAAGTTCTTCTCCCCAACATTCAAGAATAAGGGCCCAGGTGGGTTCCGGCGAGGCCGGGGAATCCCACTCCTTATCAAAGAGCTGTCCCATGGATTCTGGGGGGATAATCAACCATTTGACATTGAAGAACTTCTGAGAAGTTTTGCTAGAAGGCCAAGTATTGCGAGGACACCACCAGGTCTACTCAGCAAAGATCTATCAGGAACACCTGAGGAGATCCCAGATGTATCGACGATTATTCCTTATGAGGGTCTAAACGCAGGAAATGAAAAGGGCAACCCTGCTAAACGCAAAAGAAAAGAAACACCAACAAAAGGTAATACAAAAGAAAATGAAACTATAATGATATTGGCAAAACTTAAAGCAGAGCTAAACACGCTCACACACTTGTTAAAAGTCAATCAGAAGACGAGAAAAGATATTAAGGAAAGTGTCGAAAAACTAGGACGTATAGCAGAGCGTATTAATCTAGAAGAAGTATCTAGTACTCTTTCCATAGCCAAGCCCGATAAAACTAAAGCTGGCACCCAAACGACAACGTGCAGCAATCAAACGCAACCTGAGCCACTGTATTTAAGCAATATTAGCTCATATGAGGAATGGGCTGCACCAGCGCAATCTACCTGGACAGAAGACATTTTTATAAATACTGAGATTAAAGTAGGAAACCCCTTGAAGACAAAGTCGTCTACAGTAAAAGTGGTTCTAGTGAACCCAGATGATATCGAAATGACAAGGAGCCATTACTCGCTGACGAGTGTTTGACACGCATCAGAAGATGGTCACGCAAGGCGTTTTCTTTCATGAGCTTTTCTGTGACTGAAAAGCCGGATAGGTGATGTTATCTGTCTACCGCACTCCAGACATTCAAAAGTCTCATTGCTTTGTTGCCTCTTTACTTTTTGGTTGTCACTGTTAACTGACTTTCCAATTCTTCTCCATTCCGTTCTATTGTGAGCTGCCTCTTCCCACTCATTCTGCTTGTTAATTCCTTTTTAGTGTTCGTGGAAAATATCCTTGAACCTTTTGAGTTGTCCACCCGGCCTCCTCTTACCGTCTACAAGCTCACCGTAAAGCAGAGATTTTGGTTTGCGGTTTTCTTGCATTCTGCATACGTGACCAGCCCATCTTAAGCGGGACTTTGTAATCATGACTTCAATACTCTCGCAGTTAGCTTTTTCAAGGACCGATACGTTCGAGACATGATGGAACCATTTTATTCTTAAGAGTTGTCTAAGATGTCTCTGTTGCAACTTGTTTAATGCATTCATGTGTCGGCGGTACGGCACCCAGGTTTCGCTTCCATATAACATGGTGGGAATTATTATCGCTCGGTACACTGCAAATTTCGTTTTTGTACTCAAGTCATGATTGTTGAAAACCCTGTCTTTTAATTTCCAGAATGCTCTTGAGGCGCTGCTAATCCTGTGCTGAATTTCAGAGTCGATATTGGCCTTTTCCGAAATCAAACAAGGAGCATACAATCAAGGATACAATCATCTCAAGGACAGTTACCCGAAATCAATAGATACATTTGAAGTGTTTAAGGAAACAACAACTACTGTCACAAAAACGAAAGAAGAAACTATGGTAAATGCCCAGTTACCGTCACTGTTCTAATTATCGTCATATTCCGATATTTTTTAAAAAATTAAGAAACTCCATAATTCCATAATAAATAATTTTAAATAATTGTTTTATATATCTGGACACGCTGCAATACATCTTTTTTTAAATGGCGCACTTCATTTACGTGGAATAACGACTATTTTAGTTGGAAGTTAGACGTCACAACCACACATTTCATATAAACTAAGCAGAGCAACAATCTTCTTGATTTTCTTTCACAATAATGTAATTTAGTATACTAAGGTTCAAATATAATTAATTTTCAGTGTAAAAGGTTTTCTGTTTACATGTATTCTGCTAAGCAAACAGGTAAGTTAATATTCCAAGATCAAAACATTATTTTGCCTCTCGACAGTATTTGCTCCAAGTAGGCGCAGCGCCACGCCGCGCCGCACTGTGGTTCAAGCTGTGGTTCACTGTTGTTGTTTTATTTTAACCAGACTTTAAATTTGTTTATAAATATATATGGAATGTGAATATACAAGAAATAGTACCAAATGAAAGAGATAAGGGGCCGCATGTTTATTTAAAACAGGCTAATTTGGTATTTGCTTCTTATCAAGAAAAAGTAGCATACATGTTTTGTTTTGATTTTCGGCTACGCTGTTTTCTTTTTAATTGAGTAGCTTCCTAGGTTTTTACTTATTATTTGGAATTATACCTGGTAAGTTAATATTATTTAACCAATAGAAAATAATGATTTAAAAAATTGTAAATATATAAATAGGATACAACATATTTTAGTATGCAAAAAAGGCATATGTTTGCACGCAATTTCTTCCTCGTGCATTTGTAGCATATCAAATAGACTTTAAAATTATATATAATTTAAGTGCCCCTCGTTTATCCCTAATTTTAGCTCCTCTTCTAACTTATGGATACTTATGAAAAATGGAGGACTCGAAGGCATTTAAGTCGCAAAAATAAGTTAGGCGATATTTGTGATTATTTGCGCGATAATGGAAGTCGCTTCGAGCGAAAGAATGTTTTAAACATTATCAAGAACCTGGAGAGACGCTGGAATTTATGTCGCAGAGATCAGAAAAAATTTAAATCTAAAAATCAAACCTAGCTTCCTTTCAGTTGGAAAAAACAGTGAGTCAAAGGGCAAGGGAAGGTCATCAAAAAATTTTCATGACTGTGGTACAAGGGCTAAACAGAAGAAAATTAAAAAAAATCTTACTTCAACTTCTGGTGATGAAATTTTATTTGCTACGCAAATGAGTTTACGAAAACAAGGTAGAAGAGTGGCGGCTAATATTATTGAAGATGTTGTTAAGG